TGTGAGAGGAGGCACCCAGCTCTGGGGCACGCGTGGCCTCCCTGGGCCTCAGTTTCCTTGTCTGCAGGCTGGGCAGCCTGGGAGGGAGCCTCGAGGACTCGGCGACATGGCTCACGCCTACCCGGGCCCGCAGAGGCGCACGGCCACGCGTGCTGGTGTCAGACCCGCGCTGGCCGGACGGGGGCCCTGGGCGGCGTGTTTGTTCCTAAACTGGCCGTCATGCAAACCGCGGCCACTCAGAGGCCTGGACACGGAATAATCACGGAGCTGGTGCGAGCCCCTTCCCCATGGGCCCAGACCAGCTGTGCCCACGGCCTCCCTCACCCCCACACACTCCGCAGGAGCTAATCTTGACCCGCTGCTTTGCTGAGGGTCCACGCGCCGGGCGCCAGGAGAGTCCGTGGAGGCCCGAGGGGCTGGGACGGGCGCCCAGCAGCTGGCCGAGGGCTCTGCTCGGGGGGCCTCGTGCTGTTGGCCTAAGACCAGCCGCGTGGGAGTGTTTACACCACAGAAATGGGCGAGCCCTCCGCTCTGGGCCGGTCACTGAGCATCTACCAGCGCCCGCTGGCCTGCCCCTAGCGGGCCAGACCTCGGTCCACTCCCCAAGGCCAGGGGTGGCCAGCTTCCCCCCAAGCCCTCATGGCATGTCACCCTGAGGGGAGGGTGGAAGGATCGCCCCTCACCCATGTCAAAGCCGGGATTTCCTGCGGGCGCCGTCTGCTCTCCCGGAGCCATCTTTCCTAAACAGCTGTCCTCAGATACTGGCAGAGCTGTCGGCGGGAAAGGGGGGACCCACAGGGCTCAGAGGAGAGCAGAGACCAGGGCAGATCCGGGACACGGCTCTCCCTCCCCCACGGGCTCAGCGCCACCGACCTTTCCCAGGGTCTTCAGTCTGAGGGACCCTCAGGCCTCAGCCATTTTCAGAGCCAGGGGATGGTTTCCTTGTGAATGCACCCCCCTTCCCCCTGCCCCCCGCCCCCGTGCCCACGTCCCCACCTCCATCTCCCAGAGGGTCCCCCGGGAAAGTGTGACCCTGCCCGATGGGTGCTCAGGCCCGGCCTTTGTCAATAACTCGAGCCTGGGGGTCACCAGCTCCCTTATCTGCATTCCGTTTGGAACCTGAAGTTCCAGGTGGACTCAGGCGGTGGGCTAAGCGCGAACTCGGTCACTTCAGTTCCCAGCAGACACCCAGGGGGACAGTGTCCTTGTCACAGCCCCCGACTGAGGCCCTGGGACCCCTCAGGGCGCTCTGTCCTCCCCCCGCTCCCCCCCCCAAATCTGGGCCGCGTTTGTGAGAAAACTATTTATTGGCTTCCACTCAGACCAGCAACCCGACATCCTGGGTGCAAAGCATGCTGGGGCTTTGTTTACTTTTAAACAAAACAGTGAGCGGTCGATTTAAACTGGGGTTGACAAATGGCCTTTTTCGGGGGCGGGGGTGCATTGGTTGCATTTGCCTGGCCATCAGTCTTTAGTTGATGGCGGCTCCGCAGGGAATGAGGAGGCTCTCTCTGCTTGTCACGGGCTACATGATGCCTCAGACACATCCCTCTGGACTCACCAGCAGCTCAGCAGGTAAGAAGACAGACACGAGGCCCCCTGGCCGGCGGCTCCGCTGGTGGAAGCGCCGTCTGTGCACCGAAAGCGTTCAGGTTGGATTCCCATCCGGGCGCAGAGCTGCGTTATGAGTGCAGTCCCTGGTCGGGGCGTGTGCGGGAGGCAGCTGATCAATGTTGCTCTGTCACCTCGATGTTTCCTTCTCTCTTTCTCTCTCTTCCTCTCTCTCCGGTAACAATCAATACAATGTCCTCGGGTGAGGATTTAAAAAACCCGCCGGGAAGCCAAGTCTCGCCCCAGCTCACGGAGCCGTGTGTGCAAAACACGCGAGAGCCCCCCACACGGGGTCTACCTCCGCCCAAGATTCAGGCATGATGGGGACACTCATCCTGGGTCCCATGCACCCTGGTGTAGGCCAGGCACCATGTGGGGCGCTGACACACGGAACCGGCTCTCTCTCACAGCCCCCCGGGGACCAGGTGCTCCCCCCACCTCACAGATGAGACCTGAGGCCGAGCCGGAGGGAAGCGTCCGCTGGAACCCGGGCCAGTCTTCCCAGCTCAGCCTCTACCCCCAACACCCTCATCGTGTAGGTCCCCCGGACCAGCTCCTGTGCCGGGACCACCCTCGTCTTGAGCTGGGCTCAGGGGAACCGTGTCCTGGCTCAGAAGGGAGGTGGAGGCTGGTGCTCAGATGTCCGGGCAGGCGTGAACTCAAGGCCCCGGGACTGTGAGACACGTCAGCTCCGGAGGCAGGAGGGCCTGTGGGGTCCCTCGCTGCCTCACGCCCAGGGCTAACCTACTTTTCTCTTTGGGACGGGACTTCCAGAAGGACTGCGCCCTTCTGTGTCCCCTCCAGCTGTGAGTCAGCACGGGAAAGTCTGGGTCACCTCAGTCGAGCAACGCTGCTGGGGTGGGGGTGCCTGCGGGCGCCCGGACAGCCTCATCCTCCGCAGAGACTGTTCTCGAAGGCTGGACTGTGGGGCTTCCTCTGACACCTCTCACACGCCGCCCCCGCCCCCTCCCCGCAGCCGGTAGCTAAGGGGCACGCAGTCATGCTGAGGCTGAGGGAGGGGACCCTGCACCCCGACAGGCCAGGTCAGGGAGAGCAGGAACCCCATCAAGCTGACCAGGGTTTGAGCAGAAGGCCAGAGCGTGAGCATGGATGGTACCGGCCTTCTTCTGAAACGTCCTGGAAGCTTCGGGAAGGTTGGCAGCCCCGGTGGGTAGATGATATCAGAGGTCGACCAGACGGCCAGATGATCTTTTGGCCCATTCTTTTTTATAGGGTTTGAGGAGCTCTTTTCTGGGGTTTCAGGAACTTTTTTCTCCTTTCTCAGTTCTGAAGCCAGACTCTCTGAGAGCATCCGGATGCCCACATGTAAACCCACTGACTACATTCTCCCCGCGTTGCCACGGGGATCTGGTCTGGT